TAAGTTTTTGGTTTTTTATTGGTGTAGTTATGAAGCCCTTTTAGGCTTCTTCTCTTTAAAAGAATCTAAAGGAAAACCTACCCATTGTGTATCCTACCCAACACACCAAACTGTTGGACCCATTGGAGGCTGCATATCCCCTGCAAGCTGGGAGCTGTGGAAAGCTGCTGGTTGACTCTGGTTTTTTTTATGATGTAGAAAACACGAACTACAGGATTGGCCTGGATGGCTGGGGCCTCTGTCTCCTTGGAGCACGTGCAGCCTAGAGGGCACAGAATGATGGATGGACCTGCTCGGCCAGTGGAGGAGAGGCAGGCATCTTCTTTTCTTGTGCTTGGACGTTAATTTGCTGTTATCTTGGAAGGAAGAGGAGAGAGTGAACTGCAATTGTGATTTATACAAAAAAAAAAAAAAACAAACAATGATTTCTATTCAGACCTTTAAGTGACGTTTTTAGATGTTAAAAGTACAAACTTTACCACACTCTTCTTTTTTGGCCTAACATTGAGGCCTTAAACCTTGAGGCTCCTGTGCCTGATGGAATTCTTGTAACATACACTTGTGTATCATATAAAGATACCACCCTGTTTCTCTTATGTATTCTTACTCTAGTTGTTTATTAAGAATGACGAGCACGTCTTTTCAACATGCCATTGAACAATGTGTCTTTATTTGGGGAAGAGTGAGCTGTGAGGGGCGGGGGGGTCATTATACAAAGATCAGTATGCAAACTGGTTGTTTCCATCCCTGTTTGTGCTTTCCAGCTCGACTCCACTGGACTTCTTTCACCCCTACAAATTAGGAAGGTAGAAGGGGATTAACTTCTGTCGAAGGACCTGAATGTCTGCTTGCCCGTGGCAGCTCAGTGTCAGGCTAGGAACATGGGATCTGTGAGACCAGATCAGACTGTCAGTCTGTCCTGATGTTCTGTGGCCAGCCTGTGAGGCTTCACCCTGAGGCAAACCTCCCTCTCCCCACCTTTACAAACACATCAATCACACCAACGGCATGATGGAGGGGTGTTGGAGGGAAAAGGCCTTCCAGGAGCAGCACATGGCTTACTCCTGCCATTTAACAGCCTTTTCACAGTTTTTTAACACAGCTGTGTAGCTTCTGGCATCGTTCATGATCATAAACCCCAGCCCTGTAGCCTTGCCTTGCTGCATCTTAAATGGTTGCTGTATTTTATATCATTAACAAGTAGTCTGTTCTTTTGAAGCCAGCGGGTAGCCAACCGTGCTTGAAATGGGAGATCACTCTAGCCAGGCTTGTTATTTGTGCCACCAGCTTCTTGGATGCGGAGAGGTGACTCTGCTTCTTGAACTTGTCTTCCCTGCTTCTCCATCTCATGTCCCTTCCCTGTTCTGGAATATATAGATATATATTTAAATACATATTACAGTAAAAAAAAAACTCTTAAACTTGTGTACAGGCAAGCAATTTTTCTGAAGCTTCTGTTGACCAGCGCCTGTCTGTATTGAGAAGGAAGGTCTGCCCTCTCTGTCAGTTGTGCACAGTGTCAATCTGCACGTAGGACGAGAGTAGCCATAATGTTCCTGCCTTTTTGCTCTTAATAGTGTTGAGGTGTGTGGGCTTAGAGAGACTTCAAGCCTCTGATGCTTCATATTGACATTGGCGTTCGTGAGAAAGCAGAGATGTTTGAGCTGGTTGTCAGTATGAGCAGTTTGTTCCCTGTATAGGACTCTGTGCTCAAAGAAGTGCAGAGAGGTGACGCAGCAACGCGCTGTTGTTTCCCAATACCTGTACGCTCAACTAGACTCTTAGCTCAGTGTCTGCCCTCAGAGTTATACCAGGGGAAAACAGCCTGGGGCTGGTGCCCAGATCCCAGCGGGTAGGTTGGGAAGATGGTGCCTGGGTGGTGTGTAGGGCTGGCAACACGTACCCTTGGCTCCGTTCAGCTGTTGGGGGGCTAGCAGTTGCCCCCTGGTAGGGTGGCTGTCAGGATGGCTAATAGTGCTTCAGCTGGCAGAAGCCTGTAAGCCCTTCACGATATCTTTGTGACTGGAATGTCCATCTCTGGCCCTAACTATGTCCTTAAATACCTTAGTTAGGGACAAGCTCCCACTGTTTCAAGGAGCTGGGTGTGCTTGTTGCTCAGGATGCCCAAGAGTGGATTCCCCATTCTTTTGGGCAGTTTGTCCTGTTTTCTGAACAGTGTTGGCAAAGATGTGAGAGAAACTGTAAACGCCTGTGCTGGAGTGGCAGCGCTGCATGGGAAGCTTGTTGCAGCATGCCTGTCCCTCAGCCTGACCCTGCTGCTTTGTCTGGCTCCATCAGAAATGCAGTGGGTGCTGAAGTCATCTGCCAGGCACCCGGTGTACAAAGTCACTTCATTAGCTGGCCTCGGGAGTCGCCTCTTGCTCTAAAAATTGCCAGAAGCTGGAATAACCTGACAGAACATGAGGGCAGTTGCAGGTTAGGGGTGAACAGATACTTCTGCTGAGCTTTCTGGGGAAAATGGATTCCCTTGTTACCTTAAAATTCTAGATTGTTTGCTTTTCTTACTGCTCTTAACTGCAGAATGATCTAAAACCTTTGGAGGGGACGAGTTCTCCTTGATCTTAAGAGCGGGGACACTTGGCACATGGTGAGCCGTGGAGATCTCCTGATGATTGGTTTTGTCCTGACAGACCGAAGTGTTTCCATTATTTTTCTCATAGTTTGGACATACACAGGAGAGGGATTTGCTGAGGCGGACGTGGACTGCCATACTGTTCTGTACTGTCTTATCAGAATGTCCACTGTGTTAACTTCATTCCCTATTTTTAGAGACAATCGATATACTGTGACTTAAGGATTATTTTCCTGGACCTGGCTTCTAGTCTGGCTCTCTGGAGCTAGTTTAAAAGGTACAGTATTTCTAGAATATAAATACTATGTTCTTTGATAGCGAAGAACATGATCTGCTCCCTTTTAGGGGCTCATAGGGAGACATGCACAGAAGCGTGCTGTGGCTTAGGGTTGCTATCCAAGTTCTGGGAAGTGTTCCCAGTCAAACATGTAAAATAGCTTTTTAACACTTTCCTATAACTAGCTTGACTGCTGCTTAAAGGGCATTCCCCCTTGGCTCCCAGAGTGCCAAACTGCTAGCTCTTGTATGCCTGTATATATTAAAAGAGAACTCTCCGTGCCCTATGCCTTGTATGAGACAGGCTGAAAATGCATCGATCTCTACATAAATAAAGCTGAGAAGTCAAGCTGGAGACCCTGCGTTGTTGTTGGTTTCAAACTGTGCCCGTCTTGTCTCTGTGGTATGAAAGGAACCACAGAAAGCAGAGCAATGACTGACTACTGTAAAGCACCTCACGTTCTGACACAGGACTCCTGTATCGTCCTGTCTCTTGACACTAATAGCGTTGCTTTGTTAAGGAAACTTGTAGCCTCTTACGCACTTGTCTACGGCATCATTAGATTTTCATTTCCTTTCAAGAGTTCAAGCATTTCCTCTAAGCGGTAGTGGCTGAAGCAGTGGAGGGCAGACTAGAGAGTGGCTCTTTCCTCCTGTCTAGAGTGGTGAGTTAAAGGGAACAGTCTAAGGAACTCAACAGGGCTCTCATCTGTTGGTTGCTTCACCCCTAGAGATCTGCATTTTAGCTGGGAGACAAGGTCTGAAGTAGTTCCTGAGCTGTTCTGCCTTGAACCAATTTAAAAGGACTTAATCTGATTCCTAAATAAGAATCCTTTTCTTCACTGTTGCTCCTAGGGCAGAAAATACGACAGCCTTGTTCTCAACTGCATCAGGGCTGCCTTGGTGTACCTAGGATGGGTTAGGCCATCTTCAGGCCTCCTCTGCTGTGATAAGAACAGATCCAAAGGTGGTAGAAAAGAGCCCTCTGAGTGTGTGTAGGGCGGAGGACTCACCGATACCATAGTTGCTCATCCTCTTGCTGGTCTGAGTGCTGCTAGACTCTGACTGACTCCACGCGGTCCAACCAAACAGCATTCTCATCCAAGTTTAATAGTGACTTACTTGCAGTTAGCCTTTGGACTTTTAAATCACTGTTAAAGTGGGATATAAACTGTCTTCCACCCTCTATGGGGCTTTCTTCCCCATCTTCTTGCTGGAGCTGCTCCTGTCAGATACTACAGGGGATGTACCTTATCCTGATGTTTCAGCCTGTTCTGTTTGGCTGGTGCCAATGCATAGAAAAGGGCCCTTCTCAGCTCGAGCATCTTCCTACCTTAAGGAGCATCTCAAATCTTCAGGAAGTCTGACATGCTGCCCCGAAATCTCTGAAGCGATCGCTGTGTCCCCTTCTCGTCGGTCCCCTTTGTTGTGTGGCTGAAGCTCAGCTCTCAGCACTGCGGTCACTTTCCCTGTATAACCTCGTGCATGGCAGCCACCTTTGCCTGCTTCTCGTGTGAGCCCATCAGAACAGGGAGGCAGACTGAACCCACTTACAGCAGCAATAAACCGTGTCTAGAACTCGAGAGGGAACTGCAGGAGAGAAGGAGGTGGAGGGGATGTCTCAGAAAGGCAGGGTCCCGTTGCAGCCCAGAGCCTCGCTTGATAATGAGTGTGCAGCCTATATGCAAAATACGTCTTGTCTGTCCCTCCCGTGTTGACCCTGGTCTAAACAGCACATGTGATTGGCATCCTGCAAAGTGACCTTCAGAACTCTCCAGTAGCTTTGCCCCGTGAGTAACTCACACTACAAATCATTTTAAAGAGATGCACTCAACTATTTTTTTAATTTAATTTTACTCTTATATTCTCTGCTCTTTGTAATCTGCTTGGAAATAAAATGTTTTTCCCTGCAGCCTTTTGTTGTAGTCTGTTTGAGAACCATTAAACTTTGTCTGGTGTTTCTATTGGAACAGAAGCCACCTTGCCTGTTTACTGCTGTGCCCGTGCTCTGGCGTAACGGCGGAGATCGGTGCGTGCCTCACGGGTAGGCTCAGCAAACCTTTGTTAGCCCTGGCCTTATTTAAAATAAAGGGTAGAGAGACCCGTTAAAAACCAATCTTGCTCTGGCACGATGCCTCCTGTTCCGCCGATCCTGCGCCAGGTAACACTGACCGGAGCCTGCGTGTCCTTGGCAGGCGGCGTTTTCCTGGGGAAGCCTGTGTTTCTGCACCCTGCCTCTGTGACGTGTATCTCGGGGTCTGTACTGGTGACTGCTTTTGGTGGTGTGAGCTTAGACACTTTATTTGCTGCAAAGGACGGTGCTCTTCTCAGAGCTGCCTACCCCCAGCAAACTGCTAACAATGGAAGGCAGTGTCTGGGCAGGGGAGATCGACTTCGCTGAGAATCAGCCCAAGAATTATGTAAAAATAAAACCAGGGTGAACTGCCATCTTTCATAGTAGGCTGTTAGGGAACAAGAACTAAAACCCCGTGAAGTTCGGGGTGTATCATAATGATAAGTGTTGTTAACCTGTGGCTGTAGGAAGGTGGGGTTCATGTTGCCGTTCATAGCAGCAGTAACAGGTTTGCTCCCAGGCTCTTGGCTTGCAGTTTCAAGTGGCATTGTGTGTCCTTGTCGATGGCTCTTAGCTCTGTGAGGACTGCCTCTCTCAGTTACCTGAGGGCCCCTGGAACCCACGTGTCCCCTTCCCCACAGCAAAGTGAACGTCCCTGCACTGAGGCGTGCGCCTTCCCTTCCTGCTAGAAACAGTCTGGTTTCTGGTGCAATCTGGTGGGAAACAACCATAGTTCTAGAAGCTGCAGCCTCTGTTCTGTGCAGATTACTGCTGTCGAGGCCAAACAAGCCACAAGAGTCCTGCTTTCTGTCCATAGTCGGGTTCACTTTGTGTTTGTTTTTCTTTTTCCTCCCCTGTGTAAAAGTCAGTGTTAGCATCTACCAAAGCCTGGATTAACTGGTCTCTCCAAACTCCACATTGTCTTTCGGAGAACCTTACTCAGACCAAACACGTTCATCCAAGCTACAGGAGTGAGCCTGACTGATGAACCTCGCAGCATAGAAGGGCCATTTGCTCCTGAGTGTTTCAGGAGACCTGAACAGACGTCTCTTCGCATTTCCCATGTCCCACAGCTGGGTAACACAAACAACAATGTTTTCTTGAAGGTATTTGCTGATCTCTGCACAAGGATTTAATCCACTGCAGTAAGACGGTAGCTGTAGAAGCATCACTCTTTGGTTCCCTGAGCTTGTTAGTGTTAGACACTGGGTTGTCTGGCAGAGACTGTCACACAAGAGCAGAGTGAGAGGGGGGTCTGGTCACCTCATTTACCTGCTGCTCTGAGGCCAGCTCTGGTATATCACGATGAGCAAACCACCCACCAGAGGAGGAGCTTGTTCTGGAAATTTTCCTGATGTCCAGATGGATTTGCAGGGAGAGGAAGATCTCATCCTGGAAGCTGCCGATGGCTGGTTCCTGCCCCTCTCCTGTGAGGCAGACCCGTGTGTGCCCGCTCCTCCCCTGTGAGCACAGTCCTCGGTCCTCCCTGCTCCTGCTCCTCTGAATCTTCCCTCCAGCTGCAAGCTGTGGTGGGCAGGAGGGTGTAGGCTGAGACCCCCTGTGCTGTGTGGTGTGCCCATAGAGTCATTTTGGTTGGAAGAGACCTTTAAGATCATTGAGTCCAACCGTTAACCCAGCACGGCCAAGTTACCACCAAACCACCTCCCTCAGCACCACATCTTCCTGTGTTTTAAATACCTCCAGGGATGGCGACTCAACCACTTCCCCGGGCAGCCTGTTCCAGCGCCTCACAGCCCTTTCAGTGAGGAAATTTTCCATAATATCTAATCTAAACCTCCCCTGGTGCAACTTGAGGCTGTTTCCTCTTGTTCTGTCGCCTGTTCCTTGGGAGAAGATACCGGCTCCCCTCTATGCAGCCTCTGTTCAGGCAGCTGTTGGTATCTCCTGACGAGCTTGGTGTGCAGGGCCTGGCCTGGTGCCGGTGGAAAGAGGGGCTTGTGTGAGGCATCACGGAATTTTTGGAGTTGGAAGGGGCCTTCTAGAGCTCATCCAGTCCAACCCCCCTGCCAAAGAAGGGTTGCCCAGAGCACGTTACTCAGGACCACATCCAGGCGGGTCTTGAAGACCTGGACAGCCTCTGCCAGGGCTCTGTCACCCTCACCATAAAGAAGTTCTTCCTTATATTTGAGTGGAACTTCCCATGTTCCAGCTTGTGCCCGTTGCCCCTCATCCTGTCACTGGAAACCACTGAAAAGAGCCTGGCTCCACCCTCCTTCAACCCACCCTTTAGATCCTTGGAAGCATTAATAAGGTCTTCCCTCAGTCTTTGCTTCTCCAGGTTAAAGAGTCCCAGCTCTCTCAGCCTTTCCTCATCAGGGAGATGCTCCAACCCCTCCATCATCTCTGTTGCCCAACGCTGGACTCTCTCCAGCAGTTCCCTGTCTCTCTTGAACTGGGGAGCCCAGAACTGGACGCAACAGTCCGGTTGTGGCCTCACCAGTGCAGAGCAGAGCGGGAGAACGACCTCTCTTGACCTACTTCTCATCCCGCCTCCCCGGTGCCCCGTTCCCCGGGCCGCCCTTCCTCCCTGCGGGGCCGCTCCTGACTCACAGCCCCGCATCCACCACGGGCCCGGCAACGCGTCTCCTCCTCCTCTTCCGAAGCTGCCGGACCCCCCCGTGCCGAGCCCGGCCCCGCCGCCACCCCCTTTCTGCTTTTTTAGGCCATTTTCTTCCCGGGCGGTCCTGGGGGGAGACACACACAGACCCTCCCGTCCGACAGGGGGCGCTGCCGGCGCCGCCCGGGCCCCCTTCCGCCGGCCGCTCCGGGCCCCGCTCTCGCTGGCGGCCGC